TTGCTAAACTAAATAACCTATTTACTTTAAGGATGTCTTAACTTCAGAATGGAAGACAGAAAATGTTTTGTTTTAGGGGAGAGGTTTTGCTTTTGCTTCAACAGGAAAAGAAAAGCTATACTAATTTCCTTCAAAATTAGTAAAGGTTAGATTTGACCATGGGAGACCTCTTGAAAAATCCTGACTGCAGACATGAAGGAAGAAATGAAGAAGAACAAGAAAACATGTAACATGATATGCGAATTCCTCTTCATGGGAACACCTCTGAGATTCACTGAGACATGTTTCTGTATAACCAATAAATCTTGTTAACTACAGAGTCCTCAGGACTTATGCCATCCTTCGATATGGTATGAAATAAAATCTGTATTATAGGTTATATAGTCCAAACAGATGCCTTTTGCCTGCTCAAACATAGGGAAGAGAATCATCTTTAGCTAAACTGTGCTTACTTAACATCCCATACAAATACTAATGAAAAAAAATTACCTTTAAATATTTATATGTTTACAGAACAAAAGGACCATACACCAAAGAAGACAAGACAAGTAGTCCAGATGATCCAACCTCACAGGCTGCCTCAGTGGTTGCTTCCCCAAAACTCTGTACACAGAACAGCTTAAACAACTAGCTTAAATGGTCCAGCCTCACAGACTGCCCCAGGCAGGATTTCAGTTAAGGCTTGCATTTTCCATTCACATAGAGACTGGACAAAAATGATATAACTAGCTCTTTTAGTACTTTACCATTATCTCAATTTTCTTAGGATACCAAAAAGGGAACATTGTCCCAGACAGCAGGAAGCAATTTTAGGAGAATAATGCACACATTTCCAAGAGGTGGGGTGGGTGACATTTAGTTGTTTGATGGGTGATGGATGTTTGTCCTCGTTTAAGTGGGGCTGGTTGCAAGTTGTTAATGTTCTTGGTCAGGGAGGAAATAAAATTAAAGAAGGTTAGATTCAATGATCACTTTTTCTCTTTATTTTCTTTCCTCTTTCCTCTTTTCTCTCCTATCTAGTATTAGGGGAAAAAGGAGGAGAAGGGATGAAAGGAAAAAAGGAAGGATATATGAATAATAGAATAAAAAGGCAGATTATTGAATCTACTTTTAAACTAAAGAACATTCAACAAGCCAACAATTTTACATTGGTTTGGATATTTGTATATTGATATAAATTTAATGTTATTTTTGTTACAATATACTGTATATATGTTTTAACCCTTGTTTAAGATATTGTCCTATCTAATTCATTCAAAAATGTAATGTGAAGTTCTACTCCTTCTGAAAGCTACTATTATAAACTGTTTAGGATAATTAAAAATGCAATTTAGTAGTCAGCCAATCAAACTTGTGGTCTTATTAGGTACTAGTTTAGTTAACTACGGAAATAAACTTTATTTAGCCTCCTGTGGATGTTTTAAAGTTAATCAGATAGTAAATATTTAGAAACAAGCAACATTTGCTTCCATTGATGACAGTATGCTGTCCAAACTACAAAAGTTGGACATGCAGGGAAGTCAAACCAATCTTTGCAAGGACAACATAGGCAAGTCCTTCATAATTCCTGCTTCAAACACACACACACACACACACACACACACACACACACATACACACACACACACACACACACACACACAGATACTCTGGGACAGATAGCTGAAGATGATGCTCCAGCATAAAGGAACCTTAGGTGACTGTCTAGGATGCCAATTGTCTCTGTCATCGCTGTCATTTCTATAGTTTTGGAAGCTGCTTGCTCTGTACTTCCTGTTTGCTCAGGTAATATTAAACCTTCTCAGGTCTCTGATGGGGTTGAAGACTAGATAGTTATAGTCTCACAACTAAGCTTGAATTTTTTAGGATTTTTAAAAAAGTTTTCAAGTATAAAAAGATATTTATAGGTTGATAGATACAAGTTATGATAGAAAATGATTTAAGTTCAGATCTCTGAACTCACCAAGATAGGATAAATAATAGATTACTTTCTCTAAGGTCGCCAAACATAAATGAACTGGACGCTGTGAATGTAATTCTTACCTGACAGTTTCAACGATTGTTCTTATTTTATCTATAGTTTGTTAATGTAAGAGGAAGAGTCTTTTACTGGACTAACAGGTGGGGATGTTGGAGGATGCTTTTATGCACTGTGTATTCAGGTGGTCATTTCTGTACACAGGGATCTGGTGGCCTGGACTTTTGACAATGTAATTTTTTGAAACGTCTTCTGTCTCAATGTTGTGTAAAACTTGTTCTCCATCACTTCTGATTGGTTAATAAAGAGCTGAACAGCCAATAGTTGGGCAGGGGACTCCTGGGGTCCAGGGAGAGAGAGTGCGTATCTCAGGTAGGGACCTAGAAGTTGCCACAAGCGTGGAGAAGAAGCAGTCAAGGTGAGACTCAGCTGGTAGGCGACAGGATCGTGGTTGGGAAGTAGGCCAGACCAGCAGAGTTGGGATAGAGTAGCTCAGTACCTGCCCAGCTATGGTATCTGAAGCTTTTAATAAATACAATAGGTCTCTGTGTTATTATTTAGGAGCTAGGATGGACATAGAAAAGCACGAATTTACAGTGTCCTATGGATCTGGTGGGATCTTTAAAGGGCATGCTGCAGTGGGAGGTCTTCGGATTCTGGGGCTTGAGCTCCTTCCTCTTTTTTTCATGTCACCATGGTTTTACCTCATGCCACTCTCATAACCTATTGCCCTGCCACACCTCAAAAGGATAATCATAGCCTGACAGCTGTGCAATTGTGAGCCTAAACAAAACTTTCATCTTTATAAGCTCATTGTCTTAATAATCTGTTATAGTACTGGGGAACTGACCAGTGCAGCCAGAACGCACACCGAGTGACCACTTCCTTTTCTCTGTGAAGTCACTCATTCAGTTCTTGCCACAACCCAGTCAATCACTAGGCTGGTCAATAGATGCAGAAGGTAAGGACACTAGGCATAGGCTAGAGGTGATCTGTCTATGGCTACAAGACTAAGAGGGGGCAGAACAGATGTTCCTGCCTATCCCTCTCATCATATCATTCTTTCTGAGGTCCTGGTAAAGGTCATGACATGCTTTCATCTTCACCATCTTCCCTAGCCAACATTCTCTTCCCCTTGACTCCTAAGAGTTTCCTCACTCCACAGGCATCCATGTTTACTGCCAACTAGCCAGCCAGCAGATTCATTCACCAAGCAAAGGGAGAATGAAATAATATTTTATTACATTTAAAAAATATTTTATTTCTTTATATATGTAATGTGCATATGATACAGGGTTCTAATATAACTTAAAATTCAAAGGTGCACAGAATATGTGGTAGTAATCAGGTCTTCCTGTATATCCTACTGCTTTTCAAAATAGATATTCAATCCAAAATATATAAATACCCTATTTTGCAACCTTAATTTGTTTTTGCTGAACGACACTGTGGAGATAAGTTTGTGTCAGCACATATAAACCTCACTTGGTTTTTGTTAATATTGGAAGTGTTCTGCAGTTTAACAAATCCTAAACACATGCATATTTAACATACCATATTTTATTCACCAATCATTTTATTTTATTTTATCTCTTTAAATTTATTATTTACTTTTAATTTAAATATAAATATTAGTAAAAAGATCTTTCGTATAAATAAAAATATCACACATAAAAATAAACCAAACATATATATATGTTTTTATTTTTATATATATATATAAATATATATTTTTATATATTTATATATAATATATATATTATAAATATATATTATATATATATTTAAAAATGGTACTAGAAATGGAAGCTCTGAAGTATCTCATTACATTTTACAATTTCAGTATTGAATATATTTTATTTATTGTCCTGGCTAATTTTATATTGATTTGACACAAACTAGAGTCATCTGAAAGGTGGGAACTCAATGAAAAACTCCTTCCAGATCTGTTTCTGGTTGTTCTGTCATTCCATCTGATAAACAGCACAGTGTGCTGCAGGTTTCTTTCCTGACTCTATTTGTATGATATATTTTACTATGTAGTAGGGTTGGTTCCGATCCATGAACACTGTGGTTCTCAGTGATTTATTCTTTCCAGTTCTTTTGGTGAACCTCAATCATTTTACAGTAGTTTTCTCTCATAAATGTTACTCTTGGGATTAAGAATACATTCCTCTTATGGCCAACTGTTGGGCAGAGTGCATGGAAGCTTATGTAAGAAGTGGGAAATAGTAAGATCTGGAGAGGACAGGAACTCCACAAGGAGAGCAACAGAACCAGAAAATTTGGACACAGGGGTCTTCCCAGAGACTCATACTCCAACCAAGTACCTTGCATGGAGATAACCTAGAACCCCTGCACAGATGTAGCCCAAGGCAGTTCAGTGTCCAAGTGGGTTCCATAGTAATGGGAAGAGGGACTGCCTCTGACATAAACTGATTGGCCTGATCTTTGATCACCTCCCCCTGAGGGGGGAGCAGCCTTACCAGGTTACAGAAGATGACAATGCAGCCACTCCTGATGAGATCTGATAGTCTAAGATCAGAAGGAAGGAGAGGAGGACCTCCCCTATCAGTGGACTTGGGGAGGGGCATGCATGCAGAAAGGGGAGGGAGGGTGGGACCGGCAGGGGAGGAGGGAGGGGCTTATGGGGGGATACAAAGTGAATAAAGTGTAATTAATAAAAAAATAAAAATTAAAAAAAGAATACATTCCTCTATGTGATGTGCTATCATCTGGAGACAGAGATGATAATCACCAACTATAATTTTATGCAAAAAGTAATTATTTTTGTTTTGATTTTGGCTAAAGATCCCATTCTCGAATCTTAGCAAACCATTGCCATCCCCTTTAATTCCAGCTAGGAAATATTTCTCTGTGAAAACATGTCACCATGAAAACGAAGATTTCTTTTGACGAATCTTTGGACGTTTTGCTTCACGTTAGCCGCACCTTCAGTTTGGGCAGTTCACAGGCTCTACTGATGGTACAATGCATATCAAGCTAAGCCCACCACACTCACCTCCTAAGTTCATACCAGCTTGAAGACATTTCTGGAGTCTGCAGGCAGGACAATTCTTTCGCCGAATCTTATCAATGATGCAGTCATTTCTTCCAGCACATAAATAGTTGTGTTGCCCTGATATAATAATAATAATAATAACAAAATGTTAAAACAACAACTACAAGACTAGAATAGAATAGTAACTCGTATAATCAGAATAGGGTCTTCCTCTTTCTACTTTGGTATTTCTTCTTCAATACTGTAATGCAAACAGGTCTTATGGATAATTTGGGCAAGAGGTTGGCAACTTAACATGAGTAAGACTCTATCTTCCTTGTAACAAAACTGTATGTCAAACAGATTCTTAGATAGGAAGAGAAGCCACCTTCTCCCACTATTTGATTTTACTAAGAGCTACATGTGGAGTGAATTTCTTTCAAACATAACCGCACCAATCCAAGTAGAGGCCAGACTGCAGCTTTAAGTTGCAAAGCCTGCTTACCACTGACACATACAATTTTACCACTAAGACTTTTAAATTCACAGTAGGCAATGGTGGTCTTTCATTCTGTGAGCCTACCTGGAACTAAACAGAAATCAAATGTGGACACAGCACAGCCTCACAGAGTGGTGCCTATTGGCAGAACACGGAACTGTAGCCTGGTTCTATTACTCCTTTGTTTACTTAAACCTATCTGCTGAATATCCAGATACTTGGTGAAGCAATGGGATGAAGCTACCAGGTGCCAGGCTGGCCAGGGTCTCTACTTGTGCTAACTTTCATCTGACCGGTGGGAGAAGAGACAGCAGACAAGGCTGTCAGATATTGTGAACGTCACCGAGGCAGTATGGACTGGGGAGGAAAGGAAAGAACACGTTTCTCCTCTTGGTTAGTGTTCCAGGAAGCCCTAACAGCAAGGTAATTTTAAAATAAAAATGTAAAGATCCTTCAATGTACCTGTGGGGACACCATGGCCGAGGGAAGGACAAACAATGTAGAAAATTGGTATTGGTACTGGGTGGTTTTAAGGAAGAGTATGGGCACAAGAGTGACTGAATGAGAGCAGAGGACATGAGGGTCCAGGGCTAACACAAGCCTTTCTGGAAGGCCTTAGAGGTCAGATTAGTGCTTTGGATGTTATTCCGGGTGATAGGAGAAGCCCCTGGACTCGAGAGCTTGAAGGAGGGCCATGCAGTTGCCAGATGGAAGACGTCACAGTGGCTAGACAAAGGCTAGAGACCTACAATGACAGAACGCAATGGCTAGATTTTAGGAAAGGGTGAAAGGGGCTGTATGAGTGCGATCAGGTTAAAGGGCAGATTCTAGAGGAACCCTGAAGATAGATCTAATAAGAGTTTTGGTGAGTTGAAGGCTTAAGATCCTGCACTAGCCAGCTAGAACAATGACCTGCCTTTAACTACAGTGGGAAGATGGTAGCGCTTGTGGTTTGGGGGGAATTACCCCAGCTTGGTCTTGGACATGATAAGTCATACATTTTCAAGAAAAAGTGTTGGCAGCTAGGTGTTCAGGCATGGCCTGAGGAAGAGGTCAGGGCTGGACATACTTTCAGTTCAGGCTGTTACAGTAAGTCAGGAGGCTGGGTGAGAGCATGCGTTGACTGAGCACAGACAGAAGAGAGGTCTGATGGTGACTCATGAACACAAGTGAATACTAGACAGTCCCACTGATGACTATAATACAGTGAACAGGTTAGGTTAGACTTCTTCTGCAACCATTAATATCATGTCCATTTGGTGGATAATTTCGAATTATAATAAACATATAACATAAATAACATATATTCCTAATACAATATATCACTTAAAACAATTTAACTTGAAGTGCTACCTCTGTAACAGTCTAATAAATCTTAATAACAACAATAAAATAATACTAATAGAATAGGGAAACCTAAAAAAATGAAGAAATTAAATCTTCCCATCATAATAAACTAAGAGTATTTTTTTCTTTTAGGCTATAGATTTTTTTTTTAATAAACAGAAAGCAATTACAAATGATAATATAACCAAGAGGCTTCTTTTTTTAAAATGAAAAACCCAAGCCTCTAATATAGTGGTATCTTACTTAAGCCTTAGGAAAAGCTGGTGTGCAAGCCAGGGAATTGTCACTACTCTTTTTTTCCAAAAGAAACTCAAGCTGAATCGGTAAAGTGATGAAACTGAATCAGAAGCACAGTCCAGAAAGCCTGGCGGAGCTGGTCTTCCTCGAGGCCTTAGGGCTTTCTAAAGAGCAGTTGGCGATATGATTTGCTGGTGGTCTAAGAGCATGTGGAAAGTGCTCTTTGGAAATAATAAACAATGGAACCTCCTTTGAGTCAAGCACACTCATTTTACCAAGCAGAATTTCCATCGGCAACTGGCATTATGAACCCTCACATCGCATGAGACTGAATGCCCAGCCGCAGGTTTGAGTCAACTTTAACGAAATAACAAAATGTAATTTTAGTTTATTTCAATTCACCAAGGATCTGTGGGAGACCACCTATGTGCAAAGGCCACATAACTTGCATAAGGCATTAGTCTCATAGGGTGTAAGTTTCTTTCCATTTCTAAAGATGGATAATAAATGCAACCAAGGCTCATTGGCATATAAGAGTGAGCAAGAAATGGTTTCCATCTTATATGCACACGGAAGATTTTTCTGTCTTCTTTTTAAATGGGTGGCTTTCAAAGGCAGGGTGGGTGATCAGTATCCTTTCAAGGTACAGGATCCTACACCAAGGGCAGAATGCTCTCCTTCCTAGTCTATGTTCCACCTGCCCCAGACAGAACAGGAGAATCGCAGGAGACGACTGCAGACAATTCTCTCATACACTTCTTTAGTTGTACAAACATTAAAGATTTGTAAAATCTAATTAAACTTTAAACAAGTGTGTACAGGTTTTGCCTGTGCGTCTGTCTGGGCACCACATGTATGCTTGGGTGCCTGGGGAGGCCAGTAGAGGGTACCAGATCCTCTGTAACTGAGATTAGAATTGTTTGTGAACCCTCATGTTGGTGTTAGAAATTGAACCTGTGTCCTTTGGAGGATCAGCCAGTGCTCTTAACCAGAGCTGACTCTTTAGCCCCCAGTGTTAAAAATCTGAATTGCACTTATACAAATGTGTGATTTGTGTCTCATCCTTTAGTCCCTATTACATCCACAAGAACAGATGAGAGAGAGAAAGAGAGAGAGAGAGAGAGAGAGAGAGAGAGAGAATGTCCAGATGACTTCAATGCTGTTTATTTCCTTTTTAAAGCCCATGCTCTCTTAGTGTTAAGACAGCCAGCCCAGAAGAAGCCACATCTTATGCTATGCAGGATAAATAAGCTTTTACAGAAATACTAACATAGGTAGACAGTCGGAATCCTGAGCAGTAGCGGTGGCCAGGAATGACAGGAAGGGACTCAGCAGTCATCAACAGGCTCTGAGATGCTAGTGCAGATTTCTGCTTTACAGAATGTCAGGTCTAGAGCCATGCTTCAGAAAGACTAATCTAAGGTTATATGACAGGTTAGTAGAGTGGAAGTTGGGGCCACAGGGCCACTGTTACCGTTCCCATGAAAGCTCAGAGATGCCGATATAAAAATTAGTATCTGTACACTAGTCAGCATGCAAAGCCACATTAATAATTTGTGGTTAAACAGAAAGCTAAATGGCTGAGAAAAATAAACTTCATTTCTCATTGAGTTATATTCACCTGTGAAGGCAATTCTACATTTAAGCAATGACATAACAGCTTATAGTTGATAACTCTCCTGCAGATACTTATAAACTTTCCAACAAAGGGATAGGGTGAAAAATTTAAAGGTACCTAGGAGTGACCAAATCCAGGGAGACATTGGAGGGAAACTGACTACTAAAAATAGAATCCCCATAGGCAAGGCTTTGTGGCTCGCCAGGTTTTCCCTAAGAGCGTTGTGATCCATGTAATACAAGACATGTAGAAACAAACCAAGCAAAAAAAAAATCAATCCATCCAAACAAACAAAAACAGAAACAAAACAAACCCTCAATCTTGCGAGAGCAAAACAACAACAACAATAACAAAACAAACAAACAAACAAACCAGGACTTAGGACTACTGTAAAAGATGGAGCTGGAAAGAGAAAAAGCTGGAAAGGAAGGCAGGTGAGAGGGGGGTAGAGACTCCAGACATGATCCTAAGTCATCGCATCAAACAGGGCAAAGTATAACTTAAGGCTGAAGTAGATGAACAGGTAGCTCAGAGCTCGCTCTGATGGGAGCAGAGCTTGAGTTCCACAGAGTTAAGGAGACACAGAGACTTCTGACTTTCCTTTGAAATCCTACAAGGAAGTATTGTACCTCACAATTAGGGCATAATAGAATCCCCAAAAGCAAAAAGAAAATTTTTTAGAAGGCTCTAAAATTTCAAGGTGATGTGCCAGTGATTTAATTCACTACTAGATTAAAACACTTCATCTCTCACAGAAATATAACAAAACCCAGAATTTTCAGAATAACCAGACTACAATAAAAATTAGGAACATATAAATAGAAAAACACAAGCCAAAGTCAATGGAAGAAATAAGTCAGTGGAAAAAGCTTTATAAATAACCTAAACGCTGGAATATTGGAAGCACCTTGGAGTTAGAGCACGCTAAGAAAAAAAAAAGATAGCTACAAGGATTAAAGAAATGAGGGCTAGTGATGTAGAACCTGAAAACAATGCAGAGAGACATACAAGCAAGAGACAGATGGAACTCTAGGAACTGAAATGTGTAGCAGTTAAGAATTATTGTGTAAAATTATCAAGATACTGGATGCTCAATGTCAATGAAATTAAATAAATATAACCAGAAATTGCTCAAACTGAAACACAAAGCAGAAAATAATTAAACAATGAATGAATGAAACATCAGTAGTATGTGGGATAACACAAATTATTTAGGACATATGTAATTAGAGTTCCAGACTAAAAGAAAGAATAGATCAGAAGAGTATATGCGAAGACATTCTAATTTAATGTTCTAATGCCAAAATGTAAACAGAAACAAAATAACTGAAACATGACACAGTCAAATGTCTGAAATACAAAAATAAAGATAAAATTCTTAAAACAGGTGTATATGGTGGGGAAAACTATATTACACAAAAGGAGCAAGGCTGAATA